GTAGTATTTGCCATTCAGAAATACTCCTATCTAAAGTTTGATTGAAAGCATACCTTTTCCCTCCTCTAAAATCCACAAGTTTAGAAGAAACTCAAGGTGACATTGTCTTACTATTCTATTCTTTTTTTAAAGGCTTTCATACTTTTTACTGATCATTGCTAGCTTCCCAAAGGAACTGGAGGAGATTAATATTCTGCAAAAGCTAATTTATGATCAGCCACCTCCAATGAGATGACCTTTCTGAATCACTCTCTGACTCATGCTCACTCCAGAATACTCATAATAAAATCTTTCCTTTAACACAAAGTCTTATGGAGAAACTCCAAGATCTTCTCAGATTTAGTGATTAATCTTGCAGCCAGGTAGGAAAAAGCAAATATAGACTGTTTACAGAGCAGTAAATAGAAGATCGAATTCCAGTTTCTAGACTGCCTTAAGTTTGGCTCTGTTGACCCTTTGCCTTTCATATTCCTTTAGTTCCTACAGTTAGAGATAAGGCTGACTCCTCCTTAATTATAGATCTTAAGAAACTTAAAATTCAAGATGTTCTAGATCCAAGTGGGGTGATGATGATGATGATGATGATGATGATGATGAATTTAGAAAACATGCCATTATTTTAATGCCTGAACTCTGATGTTTTAGGAGGTCATTAATATACAGAAAGACCTTTTGTGATGGGACTCAAATATTCCTCCCATTTCATAGTTGTGTAATCTATGCAGAGAGGAGGTGCTAACTTGCCTGCATTGCAGCTGCTGGGAGTAAAGCTAGTGTTAGAAGCCCACAGGGTTTCTTAATTATGAGATGCATTGACCAAATAAAACCAAACCAAGTCAAACAAAACACCCAACAAATAAAAAAATGGCCTAACAAATGCTTCACTAGATTCACAGATGTTTTTGTTTTATGTAACTCTGGCTTAAACCTTAGATCCTTGAAAGAAATTGAGGCAATTGAAGGAGGAAGTCCTGCGCACAGTCAAACACGTTCAAGTTCCTTTAAGCTTTAAAATTAGCAATTATATCATATCTACAGCTTTTATATTTTGTGTTATATAATATACATTTATATATTATTCATTATGTGATAAACATAGGATATATTATCTATATGACATATGTTGTGGTTTGAGTAACTGTCCCCCAAAGCATCATGTGTTTAAGGATTGATGTCCATGGTGGTGCTACAGGAGGGAGTGGGACTTCTAGGATCTGGAGTCTGGTGATATTGCCTTAAGTCACTGAGGCTGTGCTTTCTCTTGCTCTTCTACTCACTGCCCCCTAGCTTGTGATGTAAGAAGCTTTTCCTTTGCTGTGTAGTCCTACAATAATGTGCTGCCTCAACACAGAACCAGTTCAGTTTAATGATCTGGAACCCCCACAGTCAAAAGCCAAGACAATCCTTATCTCTTTGTTATCTTCTGTCTTAGTGTTCTATTGCTGTGAAGAGACACCATGACAACAGAAACTCTTATTAAAGAAAGCATTTCATAGAAACTTGCTTATAGATTGAGAGGCTTAGTCCATTTTCATCATAACAAGGAGCATGATGGCACAGAGGCAGACATGGTGGTGGAGAAGGAGCTGAGAGTTCTACATCCAGATCTATAGGCAGCAGGAAGAGAGAGCCACTGGGCCTGGCTTGGACTTCTGAAACCTCAAAGCCCATCTCCAGTGACACATTCTTCCTACAAGGCTACACTTTCTAATCCTTCCAAATAGTGTTATTCCCTAAGCATTAAATATATGAACTTTTGGGGGCCTTTCCCATCCAAACCACTACATTTCACTCCCTGGCTCCTATAGGCCTGTAGCCATATCATAATGTAAAAATGCATTCAGCCTAACTTCAAAATTTCACATAGTCTACAACAGTCTCAACACCGTTTAAAAGTTCAAAGTTCAAAGTCTCTTCTGAGATTCACAGCAATCTCTTAACTGTAACCCCCTGTAAAATTAAAACCAAAAAGCACATCACATATTTACAATATACAATGGCACAGAATATACATCACCATTCCAAAAGGGAAGGAAGGGGGAGTATAATGAGAAAATACTGGACCAAAGCAAGACCAAAAACAAGCTGGGCAAACTCCAAACTCTATATCTCTCTGTTTGATATCAAAGTTCCCTTCAAATCTGAAACTCCTTTCAGTTTTCTTGATTGTAGCACATTTCTCTCTCCTTGGGCTGGTTCCACTCTCTTTTAGTGATTGTCCTTAGCAGGTATCCCAAAATTCTGGCATCTCTAACATCTTGGGCTCTCCCACAAAGTCCAGGTTTCACTTTCACAGCTTCACACAATGGCTTCTCTGGGCCTCCATGCAAAGACACCTTTGACACATGCCTTGCCTCACAGGCTTTTCTTAGTCATGGAGGGAGCTTCTATAACCCTTTTCTTGTATCCTTGACTCTAAAACCAGAAGCATGTGGCTAAAGCTGCCAAGTTCTGCTGCTTGCTGGGGCTGGAACATCTCTCTATCCTTGTTAAATGATACTTGCATTAGCTTTCTGATTTTGATGGTTTTCTTCATTGCTTAAGCCTTTCTTTAATTTCTTTTCACAAGTTGGAAGCTTAGCTGGGTGGGGTCTTGCCCTGAGGTCACCACTCCCTTTATGCCATCTAGCAGCAGGCTTTTCTTTAATCTTTTTATCTCCTTGGTCACAGGACTTAGCTCCATTATACTTCCTGGTACTCCTTTTTCTCATCAATCTGTACATTTTGTATTTTTCTTTGCTCACCTTGCTCCTTTTCATTATAGATCTGCATAAGGCATTAATAACTACAACACAGAGTCAATGATAGGCTGTCTTGAAATTTCCTTTGGTAATACCACTAATCTAAAACTTTTTAATTCAGGCTCAGGCAGATATTTGGACAAGGGCAGAAAGTGACCACATTCTTTGCCAAAATATCACAAGAATTGTCTATTGGCCACTTATTCTTACCCCCTGAAACTTTTTGAGCCAGTTCACCACCCCCAACCCTCCCAGAAAAAGTTGCCCTTAGCACTGTCTTCTAAGCTCCTACTAGGATAGCCCATTAAGCCCCACTTAATGTGTCCAACTGTTTTCTTAATCCAACATTCTAAAGTCCACATTCCATCAGCAAGAAGCATGGTTAGGCCTGTCACATGAATACCTCATGCTCTCTGGTACCAACTACTGTCTTAGTGTTGTGTTGCTGTGAAGAGACACCATGACCACAGAAACTCTTATAAAAGAAAACATTCAATTGGGACTTGCTTACAGTTTCAGAGATTTAATCCAATTCATCATGTTAGGGAGCATGGTGACCTTCAAACAGATAAGGTGCTGGAGGAGTAGCTGAAAGTTCTACGTTCAGATCCACAGACATCAGGAAGAGAGAATCACTGGGCCTGGCTTGGGCTTCTCAAACCTCAAAGTTCATCTCCAGTGACACACTTCCTCCAATAAGGTCACACCTCCTAATCCTTTCAAACAGTGCTACTCAATTAGCATTCAAATATATGAACTTATGGGGCCATTCTTATCCAAATTACCATTTCTAGTTTCTCAAGTATTTTGTTAATTCAAACCACCACATCATCTAGTTTTTCAGGTAATGGAAAGATGACTAACATAACACACTAAAGTGATCAAAACACACTATAGATGTTTATAATCTAATACATATAGTTTTTGAAAAATATTTACTAAGATGTAATTCATACACCAGAAAACATGCAAAAGCACATAATTCAATATTGTTTAGCATAGTAACAGTGTGTACAGCCATCCCTAGTGTCTAATCCCAGAGCATTTATCATAACGACCCTCAACAAACCACTGCACCCATTGACAATCACTCTTCAGCTCCTACCCTCCCTTCTTATCCCATTACTTCATGTGACTTTTCTCATGGTATGACCAAATATCCAATAAAAAGCAGTTTAAAAGAAGAGAAGTTTGCTTTGGATCATGGTTTTTAGGAAATATAGTCCATCATGACAGGGAAGGGACAGTAATAAGACAGTGGCAGCTGGTCAGATTGCACACAGTCAGGAAGTAGAGGGAAGTGATCTCCAATGCATAGGTCACATTTTTGCTTTATGCTCAGCCTGACACCCAGCCCATTGGATCCAGTGTGGGTCTTCCCCACTCAGTTAAACCTTTACAGAGACAATCTTAAGGACACACCCAGAAATGTGTCTCTTAGATGGTTCGAAACCTAGTCAAGTTGACAATGAAGATTTATTATCATGCTTGGCAACAACTAATTTACTTTTCTGTTTCAATGAAGTTGCCTATTCGCCTTTAAATAAAACCATACAACATTTTGTCTTTTGTAATGAACCTTTAGAGTTAAAGATATTTTTAGACATAACCTATGTTTCCAAATGTAATAGTACAGAATTCTACTTTATGGACAAATTTTTATATGGAGTATGTGACATTTTATTACCAATGAGTTGAGAGACACATGGCTTGCTTTTACTTTGTGATCATAATAAATGAGCTATTAGCATTCATGTACAAGTTTCTCTGTGGACATGTTTTTACTTCTCTTGGTTATCTATGTAGACATGGAAGGCTGGTAACATACTTACCTTTTAACTGGTAGGCCATTTAAAAAAAGTTTGTATTTTTTTAATGTCTCAGTATTATTTACAATCTCAGCAGGACATGGGGGGGGGTCCCAATTCTTTCTCCTTACCAACGTTTGCTTAGTCATCTAAGGCGTGTAAAATGGTATCACACTGTCATTTGATGTACATCTATGTAATGACTGATGGTGTCCAATGATACTTGATAAAAATGTCATTATGATAATTATTTTAGTGAAACATTATGACTGTTGCCATAGCAACCAACTGACCATCATTAATGCTGTTCTGTCTTCACTTTTTAAAACTGACTTCTGTTTGAACATCTGTGAGTAAATTACTTTGAACCAAGTGATTTTTTTTTCTTTTTTAAATAGAGTCTCACTATATTGTCCAGGCTGGCCTGAAACTCTTGATGCTCTCATTTCAGCCTTCTGAGTGATGGATTAACCATGTGACACCATGCCGGGCCCTGATCTAAGTGATTTGAGAAGCTACTTCATAAGTGGTTGAATATTTTTATTGCAGAGAACACAGATTTTTTGCAAGAGTCCAGTAACACCTTCTGTGATACAGAAACAGCACCTGGGACGAAGGGTAACTAATGCTCCAGAGGGCGAGAAGGAAGTATTCTGTAGGGTAAAGAAAGCAGAAGTTTGCAGAGATGCTGCAATATCAGAGACTCCACACCAATCTCAGGACTTGAGGAGGGTATGCTCCAACAGAACAAAGGAGGCCAGCTCAGGGGCACTGAGGAGTAACTGATAGCGAACAACTGGGCTAGACCCTTTCCTTAAAGTCAGTAGCCTACAAATTTCAGGACTCTAATCATTAGTCACTGGACTGGGACTTGAGTCCTACCTTTAGCCATGGATAGAGACTTGAAATCCAAAATAGCCTGGTAAGTCATTAATTGATAATTATTTAAAACCAGAGTCCTAATGGTACAGATTACTGTATGGCAGGAGACTTTCTGACAAAACCAAGGATATACTATTTACTATTGCCCCCTCCTTTAAGACTCAGACCAGACTTATCAACCACATGGATAAGACCAATTCGACTGCTCAGAAGAAGCTGCTTGGTTCAGAGACTTTAGGTTTGGTATAAAGTCTGCCTCAATGTAGATCAGCACAACTGTCCCTTTGGTCACTGTCCACTCTCGGCCCTTGAGAGCATGCCTTGGTTCACTCAGTAATAAACTCTTCTTACATGCTATGTGTTGTCAACAGAGACTGAAAGGACAGGAAGCCAAGGGGAGTCCAAAAATGAGATTGTGGTGACAATTGCCATTTCAAGTGCTAAATTGTAAGAATAACTTATGAAGTGTTTTGATCTAGCTTCTTCTTTCTTGCCTCTCTTTTCATAGTCAATGGATTCTTGCTTCCCGAATAGTCCCTTTCATCATCAGGCTTCTGCACATGTCCCTGTGCTTGGAGCCCTCTCACTTTTCCCCCTCCCATTTTCCTCTCACGTACCCCAGATGTTCTGACAAGGCAAGAATTTCTCCTCGAGGTTCTCAGCTTATCTCGAACCCTCCCCCAACCTGATTCCCAAGCTTGCAATTAGAAGCCCCTTCCATGTATGCTACAGATCTCTTGTTTACCATGGCCCCATCCCTCCTTATGGTGCAAACCGGATTATTGCCTGTTGGTGGGTGTGTATCCTACAGGGGCTGTGAATTTAGGAAGGTAGGGATGATGCTTGTCATTCACCATGGGAGACACCAACATCAGTTAGGAGTGTGTTAGGAATGCAAACTCCTGGGCCTCAGTTTTCAGAACTACTGGGCTGGACTCCAGAGGTGAGACTCAGGGTTGTGATTCACAAAACCTGCAAATAAGCCTTTAAGGTGCCTGACTTGATAAATGTGTAATGCTATGCTGACCGTGTTGTCCTCATCAGTCACTTAGCTTCTCATGCCTTCTGATTCCCAGCTACAGTGTGCTGACCCCCTCTCATAGCGTCAGGCAAAGCCCATGTAAGGTTTATGTGGAAGCCCTTGTATAACATACAGTTAAGGTTTGTTCTTTCTAAGTTCTTCATTCTTATTGTAATTTAACTAATTGCTTGCAGGGTGGCCTTCAATTCTTGATCCATTTTATGCCACCTTGAGCTATTACTGCTGTGCCTACAGGTCCAAGCAAAGATAGTTAGGAAAGAATGTGTGTGAAGTCTGCAGGTGGCCCATCTGATCGGGAATCTGACTAACTGTGTAGGCTGAACAACACATGTTAATAGATGACAGAATATTGACATGTTTTCTTTCTAAACATCAAGCCTACGGGCTAAATAGGAATTATCACTTAAAAATGATAGAACTGGTTATCAATATTTCTCAGTGTATATTTAAGCAACAGCATTGATCCTCTTGGTAAATGGTTTTCAAGTTTTGGTTAACCTCTACCTTGAATTTGTGTTTTGAAAGTTCTTCTTAAAAACAAAATAAAAGATTTACAAATTTCTGAGCTGTTTTTCTTGACCACATCAGAGTCATGTTTCTCCTGTTCCAAAGTACCTAATGGCTTCACTCAAAGGTCTCAATCTCCTTACATTGTCATGGAGCTGTACAAGAGGTTTATAATTTTCTTTGTGCTTAATTGAAATTGAATGGTCAATTAAATTACATACTAACTATCTTCTAAATTGAGTGGACATCTAAGAGATTTTTCAAAAGGTATTTAAGCAGATATTAAAATAAATGATGCGTGTTGAATGCCTGGAACCTTTGCATTTCTTTTACAGGACCAATTTAGTTGAGGCACAAACCCTTGCAGTATGGAAAGTGCTACAAAGAATGGGCTGAGCAGCAGTAGGGTGTTTGTGTAACAGTGCAATAGTGGACCTAAAAGAATGGAGCCAGAAGAATTAGTTCCTTGCTAAGTTCTTCATTCTTATTGTAATTTAACTAATTGCTTGCAGGGTGGCCTTCAATTCTTGACCCATTTTATGCCACCTTAAGATATTACTGCTGTGCCTACAGGTCCAAGCAAAGATAGTTAGGAAAGGATGTGTTTGAAGTCTGCACATGGCCCATCTGATCGGGAATCTGACTGGCCTATGATGCCAGTCAGGAACAAGGCTGGCCTATGACGCCAGAGAACAAGACGCCTCACAGTTTGGGAAACTTATTTCACAGTGAAAAACACAGTTATGTTTCCTGGATTTTGTTTCATCCTTTCTATAAGTTATAATATCCACCACAGCAAAGGCAGAAAAAACTAAGCATTTTTCTCACCTCAGTTCTGGCCCAAACTATAAACAAGCTTGTTTTCCCTTATCAATTCCTTACTACTGGCTTTTTGGTAAGGGGGTAAGCAAGAGACCTAAGACGCCTGTTGCCTTTGTTCTGTACTCAAGGAAGAGTGTAGTGCAATTAGCAAAGGAGAGTAATGGGGCAGTAAAGAGGGAAGGGCACTGCTGGCTTTGAATGCAACATTTTCTGCAGAGGCTCAAGGGTTTGAACACTGTATGCCTCGCTATACAGGGAGGCTGTGAAATCTTTTGGAGGAAGTGGGTTGCTATGGAGTGGGCACTGATCTTAACCCATTCCACTTCTAGCCTGAGCTCTCCATTTTCTGATGCAGAGGTGTGAGGAATTCCAGAGGATTCCCAATTGCACACTCTTCTTCCATGAACTCCAGGATGGCCCATACTATCTCAAAGAGCAAGCCAAATGCAGACTTCCCTCCCTTAAGTTGCTGTTGTTCAGTATTTTGTCACAGCAGCTAGAAAGGCAGCATGGTGGTCTATGGTGCTGTACCCTAGCATCTCCAAAGAGTGGAGTGGATGAAGGTTTTTGAAGGAAAATGATACTATTTTGAGTTATTATTTGAGAGAATGTCAAAGGTAAGACTCTGTACCTGAGATTGACATTAGTGCACAGATCATCTGAATTTTCTTGTGGGGTGATTAAATAGTAGGAGGATCCCCAAGTTTATGCTGTATATATTGTCCAGAGCCATTTGAGGAATCTAGGGGTAGGCAAGAACTTACTGAGACAGAATATTCCTTTTATCTGAGTTAAACAGGGAGTTGCAGTCAGCTACAATTTGATTTTTTTTTCTTTTGAAGATTAAAGCAGAATGCCATATTTATAATCAGGAGAATTTTTGGAAGCAGAATCAGGCTGACAACTTGAGTTAAAAATCCTTCCTCCCTTTGATCTCCCTATTCTCAGGAAGGATCAAGCAGGCGTGAGTCAGCTGAATACCTTGGGCTGCAAGAAGACGTGCTGGTGGAGCCAAGTCTCCAATGACAGAAATTCTCCCCTTGACGTTGATCAGGGACCTTTCAGTGGAGGCTGTAAAAACAGAGGTACTGTAACAGGACAGAGCCCAGAATTCCAGAGCTAATTAAAAGGTACTCTACCTCATCAGAGGTGGTATGGAATATGGGTGAAGGCATTGCAAGGTTCCATGTTGTATGACTTGCAGAATATTATTTATCCTCTCTTTACTTCCATTCTATAATTTGTAAATGGGGAAATAATAGAACGTCCTACAATATGGAGATGATTAATGAAATTTTATAGTCAAAGCTTTAGAACAGATTTGTATAGTCCCTGAAGGGAAATTTTCAACCTAAACACCCTTGTCAATATGGGGGGTTGAGAATCCTGCCTTTGAAACCTTCTCAGAGCCTGATTAGTACATATTAAAATCATCAACAATATCAGCATCAACACCACCACCACGTCATTTACTACATTACATGACTAAGAGTACCAGACAAATAGAACTAATAGCAGCTGTTCTCAAGATATACATGTAACACCAGAAATCATTTTACAAATAAAAAGTGCAAGAGAAGCCTAACATTAGGTACTCACTAATTAAAAAAGACTAGTTGCTTAAATAAATAAAAATCAGTTTGTGCATTTAATATTACAAAACAGCCCAGGGAATATCCAGCTTCAAGAGTTACTAGCTGGCTTTGGGGTTCAAAATCATCACAATAATTGCTGCCCCTCTTCCCTCTCAGTTGTGCTACTAGTCTGTCTACCCATTCTCAGGACCCTCAGATCCTCTTTATCTTCATCATAGAATGGCTCCAATTGCTTCCAGAGCAACATTCTTCTCAATTATCATCTATGGAAGAAAAAAAAAAGGAGCACATATGCTCCAGCACTCCCTGTGAACATCTCTGTGCTTACTGAGTAGTCTAGCATAGATTACACGCTCAGGTATATACCAATTAAATTGTGCTCTACCAAGGAAAGGTGCTGCACTGATTAGCATATTAGGCCCTCATGGTTTACTTCTGAGGCTGGGAAGAAGCCCCACTCTAGAGAACAGAGCAAGGAAATGTCCTGGTTGTTTTTCTGTCGACTTGACACAGCTAGAGTTGCTTGGGAAGACAACCTCAATTGAGAAAATATCTCCATCGGATTGATTATAGGTAAGTCTGTAATGCATTTTCTTGAATAGTGATTGATGTGGGTGGTCTCAGCCTAGGACAGGAGGTACCACCCTTGGTCCTGAATTGTTAAGAAAGCAAGCTGAATATGCCACAAGAAGCAGCTTTCCTCCATGGCCTCTGCTTCAGTTCCTGCACTCGGGTGTTCTTGAGTTCCTTCCCTGACTTTCCTCAGTGATGGGGTGTGACCTGAAAGCTGTGAGCTGAAATAAATCCTCAACCTGTTGCTTTTGATCATGGTGTTTTATCATAACAACACAAACCCTGATTAAGACAGGCAATAAGGTATATTTACTATTCTGCCTCCTTGGAAGTCTCTTCTCAAAACCTTGAGTGTTACAAAGCTAGACTTAGAGATTTCTAACATACTAAACATTTCGAAGTTTGCAAATCTTATCAGAAAGATGACTACAGTAGAAACTAAGAGCTTAAATGTCTCTTGAGAAAGGTGATATTGACTATCCCTCAAACCATAGCTCACAGCCATCCAGTAACTGCAATCCTGTGAAATACTACCTTGTCTCTCTGCACACAGGGCAGTACTTTCCATCAAGGGCCATATCCCTTAGTGGACAGGAAAATCATTCAAGTCAAGTTCTGCATCATCCTCTGTGTAATATACCTCCTGTTCTGTTTACTCATTATGACAGAATCAACATCCTAAGAAAACAGTGGCTTAGTTCTAAAGTTCTAAGGTCAACTGGGCTCCTCTGGATACTGTGGGTGGATCGCCTGTGGAGAGGCTTTATCACTCACACGTATGATGCCTGGGCTAGAAAGATTTTAGCTAGGACTGAAAAAGCTAGGGGTTTTGACTGGCATGTTCTCCCCTTCGGCATACACCCCTATGCCAGCCTTGGGTTTCTTCCCAGGATAAAATCCTGTGACCAGTTCTGTTGCCAAACTTTATTGATTACCAGTGAAATAACTAAGCCCCCAGTAAGTTCAAAAGATGGAAACACAAACTTTACTTTCGGGATGAAGATAAAACCATGTGTGGTGCTCTTGAAATTATCCCAAGGATGGCAAACAAGATTTGCCTTTCAATATTATTACAAACCATGTCCCATATCTCCATGTAAAATCATACTTTAGAGACTGTTTTGGTCATGTTGCTCTGATTCTGACCTGCTCTTGATGGAAACAAGTGTTCAGGAGGTGAGATTATCGTGATATAGCAAGCAACCTGGTTTCTTCAGGGAGTATGTGCTGGAAGAGAGGCTTAGATAGCATATGCAAATGCAATGGCCTCCATCTGGTCAGGCTGACCTATTTTGAATAGCTGTGATCCCTTTTAACACTGGAAATATTGCAATACCTCAGGGTGTGAGGCAGCTTAGGCGTGTGCTATGGAAACAGCCAGAGTTGTGAAAGACATTAGCTTTACTACGAATTTAGTCATAACCACGAGGCACTCCGAAGGGACTATTATACAGGCTAATATTATCACCTGCACTTTATCTTCAAGGTGAGCTCCAGTGTTAATGGTAAACTCTGACAAGGCTCAAGTGCCAGGTAAAGTGAAAATACACAAACATCTACTACACAGAGCTCAACACTCTACTCTTGGGGACCACAGTCCCTGTGGCAATTACCAAGCAAGTTATTAAATCAGAAGACAGGGAGAAAGCAAAATGGAATGCACCAACACACTGAAGTGGATTAGAAAAGCCTGCTTCTCAGGTGTCTGTGAAGGTGTTGGAGAAAGGAGGCCACATGAGGGAGAGTGAGAAAGGCACCTTTTTATTGAATCTTAAATGCCTTCAACGTAATGGAACAGTGAAACTGCGCATTATCAAATTGACTTGTTATTAGAAAGTGGGTTTCACTGAGTAAAGAACACTATGTAAAATTATAAAATCAGCAAAGACATTGTGGCCTGCTACCTCTTAATAAATTCCATGAATTCTCTTCTTTCTTAGTGATTTTTACCAGCACTCATTCTGGCAGCACTAATCCCTGGGCATTTTCTCAAGGTTAAAAC